AGCTCTTGGGGTGTCACATTCCTCTCCCCTCATCCCCATCCCCACACACGAAACCAAGGAGCTCTGGAGCCCCAAGAACGTATTTTCCGGGAGTGTTTCATTCCAGACCTTGGGCTGCTAGCGGTATGTTCGTCAGTCATACGCCAAAATCTATACGTTGGCCGAAAGTAAATGTTCTTAATGGCATTTCAGCTTTGAGGAGGAAATCAGCAGAAATGAATGCAGTGGACTTTCTAATTTTAAAAGGTTATTTTTTCATTAATTAATATGAAAAGTTATTGAAAAATCAATCACATACGCAAAATGCAAGGCTTAGAAATAAACTGCTGAAGTTATCAAGCAGCAAGTTAAACTGATCAGAAATGCAGTAAATCCATTGATGCTGGATCAAAATATCTGCCCCCTTTTTTTTTTTTTTATTTTCAAAAACACAATGCCAAATGCAACAGTGGAATTACTGTAAATTTGTGCTATTACAAATGTGCTTCTTTTCCCTTGCTCTGTTTTTATATCATTGACAAAATAGATCATTCTGTACTGTACAATATATGTTCCCACTATATGGGTTTTCTACTGCTTATAGAGAGTAGAATTAATATCAAAGGGGACTGTGGCGTTAAATTTAATTACATTTTGTTTTTCAGGAAATATTGATAAGGCATATGATACTCAGTAGGTGACATTTATGGTCAAACTTTGCAAATACTGGCTCTTGGAGAAGCCAGTAATAACCACCGTGTTCAGGTGTCTGTAAGATCTGGTCCAGACAGGAACTCACTGCAAGAAATTTGAGGGGAAAAGGCAAGTTTACTAAACATCACCGAGACAAGCCAGTCCTCCTCCCAGTTTCACCACTTTCAAAGGAATAAAGGAATGCCACACTCTGATTAACATTTAAAAAATTATTCCTACCTTCTCCCAAAATTCTCTGTATGGATTCAATGACAATATTTCTCTTGACTTCTTAAGGGGATTCCACAGATAATGAAAGGGAACTGAACACACATTTCAATACTAAGTAGCATTTCTCCAAGTTAATTCCTTACATATATTTTACAACACTATTAAAATGTCCCTTTATTTTTAAAGACATACCTTTATTTTTCTATGAAAAATAAACTGGACTTGAGTACAATCTAACAAAGGTTATTCAAATGACAACTCTTCAAATAATATACTCTCTTTTGGCATAATTTTAAAAATAATGGGAACTTCATTCCCCTGGAGTTAAAACTGGCTACGTTACAGTATCTTGCACTCTTTGTAGAACCATTTGAAGGGATGAGAGGTAACAGCAAGAAAATACATGGGAGCGGAACCCCACGTATCCAAACTTGTATTCGTACCAATTGGGGTAATACAACCCAATTTTAAAATCCACATTTTTAGGAGGAAAACCAGATTTGTATAAATGGTATTTTACAAAATGTGCATGTGATTTTTTTGGTGGTCTCAAATTATTTTTTGCTTTAAAAAAAAAAATAAAGACCATGGAATCAAGGACAGGCTTCATAAGCACTGAACTTGGAAAACAAAATATAGCAGAGGACACATTGAATGCATTCTTAAAGAAGAAATGACTAAGATTTGCAGTCAAACTGCAGAGGAACGACCGTCACCTTGTTATTCCTACAGCTGCCTTTCCTCCTGTGTGTAATTTTCACTCTCTTAAGTACGTATTAAACATTATTTTAAAAGCCAGGAGCACAAAAGATTAAACCCTCAAATACTGACTTCAGAGGCATCTTTCAAACCCAGAGAAAACGCAGTGAAACATTTTTCTATTTGCAGCAAACCATTCTCAAGCAGAGGAACTGATTTTTGCCAGACAGACCTGTTTAGAAAATTATCATCTAATTTGGTCCACGGTTTATAAACTAAAATTTGATATAGAACAGCTTTAGTTGCATTCCTTTGGACATGATTTCATAATATACTGGGTTAGAAAACATCCTCAGCTGTGAGTTGCATGTCCCATGGGATACGCGTTCCTCTACGGAACCAGTAAAAGAACCAGTGCAGCTGTTAAATACAACTTGCCAGGGAGAAAGTATTTTAAATTACAAGTCGAGCAATTAATTGTCTTTAAAGTGTCTTCAAGATTTTTAAAATACTTTGTTAATTTATTCACAAACGTAGGAATGCACTGACAGATATCGTCTTTAGATATTGTGTTCATCACCTGTATTGGCTAAATGATCATTTATCCAAAAGTGCCCTGATGAAAAACTCAGATAACAACAACAAAAAAGTGTTTATAGACATTTCTAAAAATCCTCTGTATAAGCCAGAGCTTAGGAACAGAGCTCTCATCTTTATTAATATTTTAATAACAGGAAGAAATAATACGAGGACTGGAAAATTCGACTTACTCGTATTTGCTCAGGAATACGTGAACGTCACAATTTTCTATAGCGCCATTGCGTAAGAAATCACAGCACAGCTGGCTAGCAGTGCTGAAGTTCTAACACAAAAACTATGAGTTAACATGTCCTGATCAACACTGCAGCTTTTACTGATTACTGCCTTTCCTAAAAATAATTTACTTTTTAAAATAAAGAGTTCCTGTAGCTTGTATCTAGAATAATAATCTATTAGCATCTTCAGTATATTTGTACTTAAAAGATATATCTATCTTCATAGAATAAAAAAAACCAGCAAGCAAGGAGACCTGCTGCATCTCTTATAACTGATTTCTTACATTAAAATGGAATGGGCAGCAGGAGAGGAAAGGGTAAAGTACATACAAGAGTAAAGTCAACTTAAACCCGCATAATAAAGGAACTCAGTGTGTTTGTTCAAGACAATACAGGACCTCCCTCAGAAGCTTGGTTTTATTAGAACAAACAAAGGCGGTTTTGGCACTTCAGCTGCTGCAGGTGATGGGATTTGTGCATACGTGTTCTGTAGATCTTGCCCTTTCCTAGCATGACATGGAAGACTTCAAAACAAGGCTCTGAAAGGCTCTAGAAATAAAGACGGTTTTGTCTAGGAAATGATAAAGCAGTAACCTTGTTTGCTAGAAAATAGATGTAGGTGCTTCGCAGGTACCTGCCATTAAAATGCAAATATCTTCAAGCGGTTAAATGATCGGATCCCTAACGCTACTACAGAATAAAGAGAAACAGCTGGCTAATCTAGGTTTATACATCTCAGTGCATCCTTTGCAATTAATACTGCAATGCACACAAATAAGAAACTTAGTCAAGCTTATAGAAAAAATGTTTTGCCTAATGCCTTCTTTCTCATGCAGGTATGTGTGCTGTACGCGTAACAAAGATTTGTAAAAATTACTGGAGAATGTTCCACTGTGCTATAGCAGAAAAGATTCGAGAAGGCAGCTGAAGCTACCCTTCCCAGACCAGATCCCGCAGTGCCTTCTCAGCCTAAATGCTCTTTTGGAACCTGCAGGCATTCAGCCTGAGAAATCAAGCAGGATCAGGTCTGTCATATCCATTCTGAACTCTTTTACTCCAATGGATGCAGAAATTTTCAGTTTTTTCTTGGTAACTGGCCCATTGGAATCATCTAGTGGTGCTGAAGGCTGCCTTCTAGGCTGTGAAGTTGCTTAAAAAATTAATCATGCGTCCGTGATCTGTTAATGCTGCTAGAGATGGACATCATTTTTGGTTGTACCAGATATGAGACTAATTACTTTTCTCGTTGTTAACATCAAGAAGATAACCAGACTCAGCTGTGGTGGAGAATACCAGTGAGCTTTGCTAAGTGGTCCAGAAAGTAGAAGAAACCATAATATTCAAGAAATTCATTTAGTGCTACATGCTTTTAAAGCCTACTTTTAGCAGGCTTTGGGAAGAAAAAAAAAAAAAAAAAAAAAGCAAATATAAAAGTTAATGATCCTCATTTTTGAAAGAAATAGTTTTGACATGAACCTGCATTAAAAAATGCACGTTCAGCATCGTTCTGTCAATGTCAGAAAAGGCGTGCCATGGGGATTTTCCGGAGTCTCTGCTTACAGACATTAGTGGGTCATACAAAACGGTCCATGATGATAAATTTTTCAATCACATTGGATCTAAGGCTTCACTGCTCATGTAAGACATAAGGTCTAATCACAGAAATTATCTATTTAAAGAAAATGAAGAGTCAGGAGGTGAAAAGAAGTGACTGGTAGGAGGTAAGGCAGCAATATCTCCAAAGATTTATGATAGTTCTCTGAATCAAAAACGTCAGCTCTATGCCTTCCCTGCACGCAGATTTTGTTCTGATACTTCATTTTTATTGCAAGCTGATTCTGACCAAAATGTGATTTTAAATGTTCATCACTGAGGAATATTTAACCCTGCCCCCTGCCCTCAGATTTAATTCCTGAAATTTCAGCTGGCGTTCTTCTGGAGAGTTCTTGTGCGATGCTGGAATTTTCAGACATTCAAAGATGGGGTTTGAAAATGTAACATACAGATAGGTACTGAGATGTACTGGAATGGAGGTACTCTACACACTGGGTAAGAAGAGTGTATTGTTTTCCATTTTAAAAGGCAGAATACTAAAAATGGGAGAAAAGGTATTATATATCTATACACCAATATTCCATTTTGGGACGACTAGCTGCACTCAGGTAAAGGAGAAGAAAAACAAAAGACTATTTTCAACCTCTAATCACACAAACTATTCTGAAGTTTGTTCATTCTCCTCTATTTCCCCTTATGCTGTCATAGCTCATCATCGCTGACCGCAACAAAAACATCAGTACCGGCTAAACTAAATAAATCATTTTGCTGCAACATTCATGCCGAGTCTAAAAATAATTTCAAACTGGAAAGTATTTTGTAACTGCTGCAATAATTGGTGATATTTGGCACTCTCGATAGTTTACATTTGGTTTGTCTGAAAAAGCCATTCTGGTGTAGTTAGAATAAATCCTTTTATTCTAACTTGAAATGTAAATTGAGCTTCCAGCAAACGAATACTGTAGCTGACTTTCTGGCTTCTACTGGTTTGTAATTTTCAGATTTTTCATTTGTATTTTTTTTTTCAATTGATTGCAACATGCTCAAGTCGACTTTCCAGTCAATTCACCCAAATTCCAACAGGAATTGGTTTATAAATTGGTTCCAACTGGAACTGGTCATTTGGAATTTCCAGCACAGGAAATTATTTTATAAGTGCCTTGATAAGTACCCTAAATTACAAATGGATGTGTCTAATCTCTAACGACAAGAGAAAGTATGGCTATAAATGCAAATGCTATACTAAAAATAAATAAATCAAAAAAACAACCCATGTGATTGGGCATAAACATAAGGGCATGGTAACTTTTTTTTTTTTTTGCCCCCTACTTAACATCAAATGACAGCAGAGTGCAACTTCAGTATAACTGTGTCACATCTGCCAAATTAAGATGAATTTGTTTTTTTCCTAGCTACGTTATGGCAAGTTACCAACTGATGAATACTATTTTTCCCCAGGTTCTTGAACTCAAAGCCTGTGTCGTGAATCATGGCTATATCCTCCAGGGGATCCTCGGTTCCTATGGGGTTTGTAAGTGTCCTGGTAGGAGTCAGAGTATTCTTCTTCCACTAGAGGATAGTGATCTCGGCTGTGTTGGGAACTGGAAGACAAGCGGTTCCTGCTCTTCCTTCCGAGCCCTTTCATTGTGATAATTTTCATCTGAGGTCATTAGGCTTCGTCGCTCAATTGGAGAGTTCTCTGCAGAGTGGCTGCTGTGCCTCATACGCTGGCTCTACGAGGGCCAAAGAATCCAAGAATTAATACAGACAAAGAGGATTTTACATTTTTTAGCTTGTTTTGAGACTTAATTCTGAGGTCTTTCAGAATCCATCCACTTTTGTGTTATTTATTTTATATTACAGTCTGTACGCTACAGGAACGGGTTACATGAATAGTCTGGTTCCTAGAGCTGAAAGCAGACCACACGCAGTATCGCACTGGGTACCGCACGCTATTCACCTGGTTAAATATCACAGGCCACTTGGCATGAAAAGTGAGCTGATGTATTCAGCATTTATCACTTTTCTCTGATCATGAACATAATATTCATGCTTTTATTCTGTTTAGACAATTTTGAGCATTGATTTTTGTGGTTTTAGAAAACATCTGAAGATGTTTGGTGTTTTGGGATTTCTTTTTTTAAAGGTGCAGCTCTGAGCCCTATTTAAAAACCTTCATCTGACCAAACAAATGATGGACTGCTACCCAGGCAGCTAAAGGGTGGCTAAAATGATTAGATAGTAACAAGTTCTTTCAACTAAAACATAATAAATATTTTAAATATGTTGACAGAAAACCCTTTTCTAAGATTATTTCTTCATTAAAAGGTTTAGCCTTTGCTATCCTCACCCTCCCATAATAATAATAATAATAATTATGTGCTATATTTGTCCTGTTAACACAATTAGTTCAATTTTTTTGTCAGTAAACTGGCACAACGAAGAAAGAGCCTAAAGAAAGGTTTTGTTCAGTGTCACCACACATGAAACCTCTCAAGAGCATAACCACCCATACTCTCAGAACAAACCCGGTCAATACTTTTCTTTCTCTAGATTACACACCCAATGTCCTTCTCCTGATCCTGTAAGCGCCAAGAAAATGTCACCACGATGGTGGCACTCTGGTGGCCTCAGGTTCAGGCGCACAGACAGCATCGTCTGCTCCTCTCGGTTCTGACACCCTGCCTGACCCTCCCTGTGCTACAAACCCTCTGCATGGCAACCGTGCAGCTGCATAATTTATACTGAAGGGCTCGGCCGCGCAGGACGTCGCCGTGCGGTGGGCATACATTTACAGTACGGCAGATACCATGTTGCATCTCTTTCTGTGGATCGATGCTGCCAAGGTTACCCACCGAGAGACTCCACAGAGCGAGCCGGCAGGGAAAAGGAGCCCTTCTGCAAATTCACACGCTCAGCAGCAACTTCTGCCTCCGTATCCCCCAGTTTCCTTACAGCACCAGGTTTCAGTAGTGATTATATGTCAAAGTCCATGTGTTTTCTTCACAAATTAGACTTTTCATATTTATTTGACCGAGGCTTGCAGTTTTGATATATAATCACTTGAACAACTGCAGCTTCACCTTTCTGTGCTCACACCCTCTACATTCCCTGGAGCATTTTCCCTCTCTGGCTGCAATCTCCTCCTTTCTAGAAACCCTTGTTTCCCTGCCTCGATTGTGTAGTCATTCTGATCCCACTATTTACCTCCCGAGAGGTGCAAATGTGGCACCAAACTGCTGTGGTTGCATGCTGCTCTTGTGCCCCAGCTGATGTTTGATGCTGCAGCGCAATGGTAAGCTGCGTTACGTTTTCTGCAGTAATTGGACTTAAAATGCAAATCCCCTGGAGCCCAAGAAACACACAGCCCCAAAATTTGAACTATGGGATTTGAGCCCATTCTCTGAAATTAGACTAAACTGTGGAGGTTTAGAGCTAAGCAGGGATCAGCCACAACGGGAAAGGACTGGTCCCCAGGAGTCAGCGATGACAGAATTTACTCTTCCTGATGAGGACGGCAAACACACGCAGCTCCACACTGACATCTTCCCCTTTCAGGCCAGGTCATGGCCAAGGACCAGGTGACCGCCGGCTCTGGCAGGCGCACCGATGGGACACAGCCGGAGCGTGCCGTCGCATATTCCCTCCCTTCCACTCTGACTCTTCCGTACCTACGCCACTTAACTTCACCCTGATCACCTTCAGGAAGCCCAAAGACTTCTTAAATCCAAAGTTTAATTTCTCAATAAACTCAAGTCCAAGCCACAATGGAATACACAAGGGGCCACTCCTAAACCCTGCTTAGGTGAAGGATGCACAGATTGTCTCAGCGAGTCCGTGTCACTCTCAGGTGGGACTGTCACACAAGGCTCTGGGCTTTTGTGGTCAGTTCCCCAAGGTATCGGGTGAGGAGGAGTCACAAGAAGTAAAATTTCTTAATATATCTTAAGCACCTAAACTACTTTAATTCCTAGGATTCATGCGAGTGCTTCGCAATCACCGTGCTGCATTATTACAGTTCAAGCTGATGCAAAGCCTTCCGAAGGCTTGAATTGATATAAAACCCCTAGGTGGTGGGTCAGCACTTCAGCTGATGGGAGTCCTGACTGCGAGATAACCATGTAAAACATCAGAACTCTTTAAATGGGCCTGAACGCTTAGGTAAGTGGCACTGAAAGCCAAATCCTGCCGTCTCTAGCTGGACATCATTCACTCGGGGAGAAATTGACCCCTCTGCAGAGAACTAGCACCATTCAAGTCCCACCTAAGCCTTCACAAGTCGGGTGAAGTGGGGATTAAGTGATGCGTACCTTCAGCCAGCCCACTGCACAGGGGTGATTTTCATCTTCAGTGTGAGTTTTCCCTAAGTAAATGGAGCAACATTTCACAGTTACTGCTGGCATCCATTGATCAGAGAGAAATAAATGCCTGAAAAAAATTCTGTGGATACACCCAGTTCTCAAAATGAAACCGAAGAGATGAACGTTCTGCAGATGGCATTTTATTGTCATGAAGGGATGGAAAACTGAAATTTTAAGGCAAGTGAAAATGGAAACGACAGTTTACATGTGCATGTGATTAGTAACAGAACAGTGCTTGTGCGTTCAGCCAGTCAGGAGACAGTGACTTGCTGACCCTGATAAAATCAAGCACAGCATTAGAAACGTGAGCAGCAGGTACCATGCACCTTCCGGGAAGTGCAATCCACTCACAGAAAAAACAGCTTTACGTTAACTGAAAACACTCAACAACGCATCGTTTCCTTCCAAACTGTTACCTGCTTCCAGATACTCTATGAGCAGAACAGAGGTTAAAATTTGTCAGGAGAATTATTCATTAAATGTCATGTGCTCAGCTCTACTTTTGACGTACAGGAGAAAGCACACACTCCCAGCAAGTCACACGCATACAGAACTCCTGAAACTTTCAGACTTAAAAGCTTGCTGCAGTCCTCCTCATCTTCTCAAGCATTCATAACTATTCATCAAAAACATTTTCTGTTTTCAAACTTAGTAAAGCACGTACTTCTCATTAAGGACTATTTACATGCCAGGTTTGAAGTTTCAAAGTTCAGCCGTTTTTGAGCTATCCCTGTGGAAAAAAATGGTCAGAATTTTTTTCAATGGGTAAAAAAAAAATAAAAAAAATGTATTTTATTCACACTCAAAGAACTCAAAAAGGTGAAGGGATTTTGCTGATACAAGACACAAGCATGGAAGTTTTTCACCCAAAAGTGAACGTTTTGTGAAGTGATGAGGGTAGAAATAAAAGGGATCACTCCAGACACTGTTCTGCACTCTTAAATACAGGAGCTGTTATCTCAGCTCTGGGACATACTGCACGGGCTTATTCGCATCTGAAAGGCTCTCATTTGCAATGGCATTTTTGCCAGATTAAAACAAATTCTATTTTCTAATACAGCTAGAATACCACTTGACACAGTGTTATTTAACTCCTCCTCAAGAGCTAACTCCTTGCCAGCAAATTTGTGGTCATTTTATTTCCCATTAAAGCAAGAGCAGTCAGCGTGCTTCAGCACTCAGCTGACGAACTGCTTCTTCACCGGCGAGGGGCCTTAGCTTGCCTTCTAACTGCTGGCAGTGGCCAAGCAGTGAGTCATAACTAACGAAGCAAACAGCGGTTCTGCTATATAAAATCTATTACGCTATTTTCCCATAGATTAAAAACCCCACCTGATCTGCACTGGCGTTGGGGGCTGAAAGGTGTGGTCATACCTGTAATCCAGAGATGGCAGCAGGGTATGGTGAAAGTGCAGTGGATCCTAAATTCCGCCCCAGCAGAGGAGTCATGGGGGTGCTACTGGTGGTGTGGGTAGCACGCCAGTATGCCTCGAGATACTCTGCCAAGTGTTCGCAAGCGTCTTCGAGCTGATTCTCATCCAAAATTACATCAAACATTTCCTGATCACAACAACAAGGTTTGGTTCATTACGTTACAGGTGAAAAGAGATGTTTAACAAGTCTCATCACATGAATCCTTTAAAATTCAATAAATAATAATCAGAGCATGGGACTGCAAAAGAAAATCATACAAGTGGGTTTATAGGGTGATGAAAAGCCAAAGCTCTCAGAAGCCACTGCACCCTTTCAGCGAGGTTCACAAGATGCTGTGTGCGCCCTACCACGCTCAAAGGCACCACACTCCTTTAATGAGTTTATTCTGCTCCAAGAAAGGAACTGAAGCTAGGTGTCGGAGTAACACTGGGATGCTTTGCATCAGTTTGGGACCCAAGGACTCACGCACACTTCTCTCACCCTGCGAGCACACTTCCAGAGTGACGATGCCCCCGCAGCCCTTTCCACTCTAGGGAAGGCAGCATGCCGTTCTGTCAGCAGCAGGATTTCTGCTTCAGCAAGGCTGCTGCAGGACAGCCAGACGGTCCGATACGTACAGCTGGGAACTTCTCATTGACTGTCTCCATGCCCTGTTTATTAACCGCCTGTCTGGACAGTCTCACCTATCCGCACCGTGCAGGTACG